CGTATTCGCAGTGCTCATACATAGTCTCGAAAGATCTGTCATCCTGAAGCGTCATGAAGGTCATGTAGACAGTTTTCAACAACGCTGTCTTGTAGCGTCCTCAAAGTGCGATGGTATCAACGGGTCACGAACGAGCAAATACTGACGATCGCCGGTCTGAGAAACCTATCACATGAACTCAGAGACTAGCGCCTGATTTGGTTTGATAAAACAGCCTAAAAGTAGAATAAAAATACATTCAAATGTTTTGTCTCGTGGGAACCGCGCACATGCCGCAGAGGTGTGGGAGGGCAATACAAACGTTAAAAACCTCTTTGAGGCAAGCCTGCTAGTGGAGAGAAATATGACTTTCGCCACAGCGGAGAACGTTGCCTAATATCTATCTGCAGTTCCATTTCTAATGGTCAGATATCATAAATCTAAAAAAATCTGTCGTTTAATCTCTGTTGACCTCATAAGACGATGACAAAGCAATAGCAAGCAACGGTATCTAGGCCTCTGTATTGTCCCCTGCTTCAAGTCTATGCCGAGTCCTTGACATAAACTGATGCCTAGGCGTTAATGTGGTTAAAACTACATATTACTGGTACGGGCCGGAGAGCAATTCAGTCTCAGTCTATACCGGAATGATCGGATTAGCACTGTGAACGGTAACATACACACCACTATCTTTACGGTAAATATGAAAATACACTGCATTCTAGTCAGTGTATACTGGCGTTGGATCGGCTTTTCGAACGAGCCGATTTACAGTGAAATCGAGGGAAAGGAGCCGAAAAGGAGATTATCGAATCTTGCCAGCGGCCAGCGGAAGATGATGCACGACGCCTGAGGAATCGAACCATCCCGATGATCGATGGTCTTGGGCGACTGGCTGCCTTCAGACCTACTCCAGACTTTACTCGATAAACAGAAAGACCTGAACCGACAAGTATCGCTGCAGTTGTTGGTTCCCATAGCGCCGGCGCAGAGATGGTGAAATGCGTTCCGCTGTTCTTGGGAGGATGTAGCGAGGATGCGCATGGGTGGCTGAGCTTAGAAGAGCAGACAGCAGTCACGCAGCGTTTGCCACAGTCGGTTCAAAGGCGAGGCCGTGAAATTTTGGCACTTCATCGGGGGTACAAATGCGGAATCTTTCTGCGAGTAGTAGGCTTCCCTTGTAAGGGCTTTCTGCATGTAGATGACGCAGACAGCATGGTAAATTCGAATGGAAGCCCGGAAACAAGCATCGTTTGATACAGCGGCGAGATGCTCTACATGCTGAAGAGCTGCCAAGCTGCACTAACAAAGGACGGAAAGATCCGATATGCAGTGTTAGGGTTGTCCAACACTGACCAAGCAGAGGCTGTAGTCGCTCGTAACCCTTGCAAGGTCGCAGGCGTGTTACCTGTCCTGCAAGCGCTAGAGGAGCGTAAAGATTACTAGGTTCTAGTTGTGAGACTAGAACCCATGATGACAAAGCCCTTACTGTAATCCTCCCGAGAGGAGCTTAGAATGCACCCAGATGTCTTAGACAGTTTGGTGAATGCGATGGCGGTCCCAAGCCAGCGGGTGGATCATAGAGAAACGACTCGACCAGCCGTACGGGCGAATCAACGACGAAATGAGACGGAGGTGATCCAACCGCGCAAGACGAAAACGAAAGTCTGGGTAAGATGTTGCCGATGTGAGCGACAAGGGCAATTTGCGTGGGATTGTTCGATGACTCCCAAGGTACAGTGGGAAAGCGATAGCACCACCTCGACGGGACAGAGGTGGCATTATTGAAAGAAGTTCCCCAAACTGATTCTCTGATTCTGAGGATGGCGCACGTTGTCGGGCTGGGCCAGATTGATGCCATTATTGATCCTGGGTCTACTGTAAGTGGAATTAGGTGAGGCCTCTTTGAAAA